GAAAGGTCTAGAATTTAAACTCTGGAGCAAATACATGTATAGGTGTTGATGTACTGCAGTTGGCAGATTTTCTGCATGTACATGCCTTCATTCTTGTCTTCCATAAAGCAATTAGCTCTCTGCGTTAATCAGCTTCTGCTGTAAGCATGTTCTTGAATATGGGGTAAGTTTCTGAAGAGCCAAGACTTATGTGACGCCTAGTATGAAATCTGATAGCTATGTTGAAAGAATAGCTTACTGAAGTTATATAATAGATTTACCATTTACATGGGATATCCAAAGTGGATTAGATTTGGTTTGTTCTTAGATTGCAGCAATGGTCAGCCTTATTAAAATAGCCCCTTCTTTCTAAGCCTCATGGTCAACTGATTTTGCACATCAAGACAAGCCTAAGTTAGAATAAGGATTTTAGATTATATAAATAGAAGAAATAAATAAAAACAAAAGTTTGCCACAGTCTCAGATAAGTAGTGCAATCCAGATATAAATGTTAATATTTTAGATTGGAATAACTTGTAATATTCTAAATCTTGCCTATGCTAAAAATATTTATTGGAGTATTGTATGCAATAGGCTGTAATGAAATTGAGTTACATTGGTAGATAGCATAGCCTGGAAACTTTGTGACTCATAAATGATCCAACCTGTTCTGTCACCACCAGTTTTTGTTCTATAAGTATCAGCAGATGCTACTATATACGTAATATTTTCTAGAATCAGAATGGATGCTGACAGTTATTCTACTCCATTTCAGTACAATGGAGTTGGTGAAAGACAGCAATTATCTTTTCTCATCCCAAGTTTTTTTAAAAAATATTTCTGCTTTCCAAAATTTTCTGCTACCGTATCATCTTCTGTTAATCTACCTTGGAAATAGTTCAAAAAATATAGCAAATACAGTTTGGCTTTCACCTTCTTTTGCTAGTACACAGATTTTTAATTGCAATGATTGCTTGTACCCTTCTGGATAAGTCATTCCTTAGTGGATACCTCTTTTCATATAAGTCTTCTGTACCCTTGAGAGGTATCTGAGATTTTGTGTCATGATTGTTAATTATAAACAATAGGTCATTTTTATAAGGTGAGTTTGGCATGAAAATAAAATAAATCAAATTTGTTAGTCTAATAGCTCATGGGATTAGGTTCTAAGCTGAATTTCTGTTGTATTTAAGAAATATAATGCTCCCAAATTAGTTTAGTTTGCCCTTTTATTGATTATAGTAAAATATATTGTTTTTCGTAATAAAGTAATTTTTATCTGTATTTTTACATTTGATGTTTCCAAAAACTAAGTAAATTTAATCTTTAAAATTATTGGATGAATGGAGAAACTTATGTAGGAAACTGTAATTATATAAAAGTTTCATAATACCTGATTTCCATGGCTATCTTTATTCAAAACTTCAAAATATTTGTTCTCACCTTGCTTTCCATTGGTTAAAGCTGGAGTAACAAGGGGCTGGCAGCTATAAATTCCACCTTAGTAAAAGAAATACATAATCTGTTCCCTATCCATATCTAAAAATAAACAACATTATTCCTAAAGGATGCATAATAACATCCTGAAAAAGCATGAGGTTGATATTTATGCAATAGTCTCTTGAAATAAACACTTCATTCCTTTTCTTATGAAAGGAAATAGAATTCTTCTTCCTCTACTTTCTATTTTTCTCCTACTGCTTCTTCCTCTTCTTTCTTTTCCTTAATTTTGCAGTTTGTCACAGTTATTCTAGATCATTTTTTCTCCAGGGCCATATAATCCTTATACTTCTAATTTTTGTGTGTAAATTAATGGATCAAAAATACTAGCTTTTTATGTGATATCTATTATGTTAGGGGAATAACAAGATGATTTTATTAAGAGATACTTCTGAACTGTCAACATATTGTAATTAATCTTTGAAAATAACTTGCACATCCATTTGAAATGAGTGCTGCCACCATGGATTAAATGCTGATGCTTTTGTGCAGAGAGATAAAGGTTGGAATAACCTGTCATAAAACTAGGGAGGTGGGTGTATTATGTAATTTTTCTTGGTGGACGGCTTTGAACTGGGTTGGGTTTGTGTGAAAAATGAGGCAAGCTAATGTCTGTTGTGGTTACCTGGCTGGGATAGGATATTCATATTTTATATCCCAAGTTTATCATGCTGGCAGGTAGCCCTCTAAAATAACACTGGTTATATAACTGGAAATAGGATAGATACATGATACTGGGATAGGTGTTTTATGATCAGACTTTGCTTGATCAATAAGCACTGCATAAGTTGACACAGGCCGGGCATGAGCTTCCCTAAAATAAATGAAATTGATTTTTTATTGTAAAAGTCAGGCCCCATAGGCCAATCATAATATGTTTTAATAATTTTATTTTTTTTTTCCCAAAGAAAATGGCACTGTACCTAGAAATGTTCAAAGGTCATGCATCAAAGGAGTAAGGAAGTGTTTAGAAGAAAATGGCAACCAATTCGAACATTTAATGTAATTTACATGATAAATTGTCTACGGGGCCTGACTTTTGGTACACTCTGTATATATTTTATTTGTCAGATTGAGACTGATAACTTTAGCCACATCATCAGAATAAAAATCATCCATTAAAAGCATTCTGTTCAATTATTTAATAATTCTTTGTTTTCAGCAATTTTATTATAATAAGCTGAAACAATTATGACATTTTAGTAGAGCTATATTAATATTTATGTATTTATTTTTCAAATTTATATGGCCATCCATCTCACACAGAGTGACTCAGAGTGGTATACAACAATCAAATAAAACAACAAATATATAAACACAATTATTATTAAAAAGTAAAATATTATTAAAAATTAAAATATACAAACCACAAGGCAAGGAGAGAGTAAATAAGTTTAATATAAAATTATTCTTATATGTTTTGACTTGTAAAGGACCTTCATGTGTTTCCTTGTAACTATATACTATGATGCATCCAAACTGGCCAAAAATGTTTTTAATGGATGTTTTGGGTATGCATATATGTATGTAGCTGCAATTTTTAGAAAAATGCTTAAATCTGGCTGGATTTGTTGATTTTGTTACATTGATCTTTTACTGGATTTTATAGGAGATGCCACAATTGAAGGTCTGAAGGCAACCTGGCTATTTAAGTTGAAAAAATAGAACATATTCCTATTTGCTTGGATGACAAATTTGGAGCTAATTTAAAAAAAGAAATAAACAAGTTTTGGGAAGCATAAACATAAAATTTGCCATTATGTTTATTTTAAGGAAGTTGTTATGTAACTGTCTTCTTGCTGTGCTTGCTTTATTTTTCTTTCTTTTTGTCTTTCTTCCTATACTTAATCTGATTAGATTAAATCTGATCAAGGCTGAAGAAATGGAAGCAATCAGTACATATTTAAACAGTGACCGATCTGGGTTGGCTTATACTTTAGGCTCCTTATTTTGCTCTTAATAATTTCCTGTATCCGCTGTGCAACTATACAATGTTGGGTTCACATATTATACTAACCCATGATTTCTTGACTTAGCATCCCTGACTGAGTTCACACAATTATGCTGAACTGTGACATTCTGGCTTCTTGTGAGTGGAGCCGGTAGTCATGCATGAAAGTTAGGAGACCATATTCATTGTTTGTTCATTTAAGTATGATATGCATTTACACATTTAGGTAGGATGAAATCTGTTCAGGGCTTTGCAAGTCAAAAACAGCACATGGAGTAAAATCCAATTTTATGCTTTCTTTATACAGTTTCCTCTGATTAATCAGGAGAAGTGTACTCCCACCTATCTGACCTCCCACTGCCCTCAGAATTTACTTTGAAAGTACTCCAGACTCTTGTGCAAATTGAAGTTTGTGCTAGTTGAAATTTGTTCACATATTACTGGGTTTCATTTCTTGCACAATGCACGAGTGGCTATAAGGTTAAAATTCAATCACCAGATTATTGAGAAGACTCTTAAGATGTACTGTACATTTCCGTTAAACTGCAGTAATAAACCATTTCCCTATTGAGATGCTTTCCTTGTTCATTTACCTGAATCTGTGATAGATCGTATTTTACATATTGATTATATTGGTTTTTTTTAAATCAAATGTTTGTATGTAAATTTTGCATTCTGTACAAATGTTTGAATAGGCAGTAGACACATAAAGATCAAAAGTTGACTATGCATTAAAACATTATAATAATGTTGTAAATCTATATTAATGCATGTATTTCATACAACAGCTACCTTTACTTGTTAACTTTTCAATTCCTTGACCTGTCCCACTCCTTGATTTTGATTTTGTGTTGTTCACCTGCTGCCCTTATTGTTGCTCTTTAGTTTGGTTGTACACATATGTTGTTATACTGTAAATGTTAATTGATTATATATTTGTGTTTGCATTAAATATATGATTTGTATTTAAAAAATTGTTATAGAAAATTCTGTACACCATTTTATGCACTAATGATAGCATGAGTTACAACACTAAGCCATCATTTTTGGCAAATATTTGTCTTTCTTCACTTTAAAAGTCCTGTTAGGTAGTGTGAGGGAGAGAGATGTTACAGAAATTTCAAAAGTAGGAACAAACATTTTATTATAAAATGAGCAAATGTGTGTGTGCATGTTTTTTATTGCATTCATTAGAAAATATGAATCAGGAGAGATTCAGACACAATTGATTATAATCATCTATGTATGCACATATGCATGCATGATTTAAGACAATTTAGATTTGTTTCAGTTTGTAATTCTGTCATCAGATGCACAGATGTTTAAGGTGCTGGTTATCATATTTTCAGCTGTAAATTAGAAAAAACAATTTGGTTGGAGACTTTGTAATCATTTCCCGTGCCTTGCCATGAGAAGGATATCATAGCTGTAAAAAGTGATGTCTTTATAAGAACTCTAAGTTAATAATATAGAGATCTGAAGAGTTTTCAACAAACTTGGCTTGTGCTATATCATGCCATACAACTTGTAAATTTTATTTTATTTTTATTTCCTGTCTTTTCATTTGTAGGGCTGCTATAACATAGATCATGAGCAGGTAATGCACAAGGAGTGCTATTGGGAATCATGTCGGACGAGTCAGTCTCAGGGAGTGATCCAGATGTGGACCCAGATTTGGAGCAGGAGGATATGGAAGAGGAAGAGGAGGAAGAAGATGAGGAGGAAGCAATGGAGGAGGACAATGATGGAGATGATGAAGAGGACTTACTTGATGAGAATGGTGAGTTAATGGGTTCGGGAAGCAGTAAACATTTTGCTGGAAATGTGTATGAATTCTGGTGAATGAATCTTTTAATTTTATACAAAATACAGATTTGTTCAGTTTGGAATGTTTGTTACAAATTTGGGACACTTTAGTTGGTAGTGTATAAAAGGAGCAGCCAAGTCCTGGGTTGGTGACTTGTAGTGCTGTGGCTAAAACAGTATTCCAAATTTGTAATCAGGACAGGGCCATTTAGCCAGGGAAGCCTACATCTTGCAAAAATATCCAAAGGAATGCTATACTTTTAATTCACACTCCAGCATCAATTATATATTTCCTGTGAAATGGTTTGTATTTCAGAAAGAAAACTTGAATGAATAAAATTAAACCCAGGGTTATATGTAGCTTTTGCTAAAAATATTCTGTGTCAAGAAAATGTCCTAAAATGTAGATTATGCAGATATTCTCAGTATGTATATTTTTGTGTGATTCTGCTATTTTTATTATTTAAATAATTTGTTCTGATTTATTGATAATTATTCAATAAATAAGTCTGAAATTCTGTAAAGCACTGAACAGCCACGCATATTTTTTGGAAATATTATTAATTTTTTTTGCTGGCATCTTTGGGTAGACATATAAAACTCAGTGAAAAATGCAAAATGAATTAGTTGAATTGAAAAAGAGATTTCCAGTACTGGACTACCAGATGATTTCAAAATACCTCACAGTCAGAAAATGAAAGGTGTGGCTTTCTTTGTTTGTTGTACCTAGTATTGATACTTGGAGTTAGAGTTTTCTTTGGCTCAGTTATGTAACTAATGCAGGTTGATAGTTCTATCTTTGATAAATCTGTTTAGATGTGTGGAATCAAAACATGGGACCCAAAGCAAATAATCAAGGCTTACTACAGTGTTTATTATATCAACAGTACTTACTGGAGGGGACCCCACCGAAAGGATAGTGAGAGATACCCGTACAAACAAAAGAGATGCACTGATATTTATACATTTTGGAAAAGGGGAAAAAATGATGCATGCATACATTCATGAGTAATAGATCTCAGGCTACTTCTGGCTCCTCTACTGTCTACTGCAAAGGAAACAAGTGTCTTAGTGAGAAGAAACAGATCAAAAGGAGGGGACAATGAAGACATCCTTCATTGGCATCTTGAGGACAGATTCCTGGGTATGGATATGTTCTGATAAGATTTACAACAGGCTGGTGTGAACTAGGTGATAAGCCAGCTCCAAGGCTATTGCAAATTCCTTATGTTTCAGTTTGATTTAAATGATCCCATTCATCTGAAAACTCATTTTCCTCACAAATGTTTTTAAAATCCAATATTACGTTCTGGGAGTGTTTCAGTGGTATGATTAGAATACTTACGGTTAGCTGTGAATGTGCCTGATCATGCCAGCTCCCACACCTGGCTTCTTTAAAGTATATTTTGTTGCCTTTCTACATTCTAACCAGAGGGAAAAAATAATTTAGCAGTAGACAAATTGCCATAAGCAATTGACTGGTGGTGGTTAGAGGGCACATGGGTAGGTGAGGTGTAACCAGCTAGTGTTCAAGACAAACACAAGTTATGACTGTCCACATTCTTTGTGCATCTGTATCCTTGGCACCCTTTCAGAATCATGACATAGTTACTGCCATTATTTAAAACTTCAATAAGAGGGAAGGCAAATCTAGTTTTAGTGCAGAGGCATCTGAAAAATCCTAAGTACTGTAATAATATATATACCCACTTATAGCTTGCATCTGTTTTTTATGGTAAAGAGAAATAAGATTGACTTGCTTGAAGGTGTGTGATTTTTAAAGACTAGGTGGGAAACCCATTTAAAGATGTTTGTTTTTTAAATTTATTGTGGTTTCATTTGTTGTCAATATTTAAATAGTTTACAATAAGAAAAGTTGTCTAATACATGTAAAAAGAATAAAAAACAAAAACATCTACATAATCTTTTAATTTTTTAAAAATAATAACATATTTGTTTAAAACATTTAAGGAACAGAATAAATAGCTTCAGAAAAGAAAAGAAGATGGAGAGAGACATTGTGGGTGAATAATAAAATATCAGTATAGAAATAAAGTATTTACAATTATAACATTTTAAATTCATTATTTCATTAATTCATTAAATGTATAGATGTAAAATTTGACATGAAAATAAAACCAACAGAAAAATCTAGCTCACCCACACTGACCAGTAATAATGTCTCATTCTAAGTTGATGCTTCATCTTATGTTTCAGAATCTTTTAGGTTGGGATAGCTGTTATAGCTGTTTACTTCAAATTCAGCTGTATTAGTCAGTATCCTCTCTCATTTAAAAAGGTGGCCTTTCTCGCTTCCCCAGTTCTCTTCCAGATGCCGCTCCAAATTTGAATTATATTTTAGGATTAATGATGTCTATGGTTCAGATCTGAATCCAAAAAGGTGCTACGAAGTGGGCATGGGTGCACATCTGCCAGTGCCTCTTAAAGAAGCAGCATTTTTTCCTGGGCTCACATGCTAGCCATGTGATCCTAGAAAAATCTGTGTTTCACTTAAGGAAGTGCTGACAGTGCCCCCACGCTCCTCTGAAACAGCTTTCAATAAAAAGCTAAGTGAAGTCATCCTTTGATTGAGTAGCATCACACCTTGTTACAGCAGGGGATACCACTGGCAGTCTTGAAGAAACTGTAATGTGCCCGCTTCTTCAGAGGCCCTCTCTGGTTCTAGAGGTATTAGACAACTATAGCCTGATCTCCAGCCTTCTCTTTTTGGGGAAAGTTATTGAGACAGTGGTGGGGAATCAACTACAGAGCACCCTAGAAGAAGCAGACTTTCTGGGCCCTCTATGGTTGGGTTCAGGCCTGGAAACAGAATGGAAATGGCATTGGTTGCACTAGTAGATGACCATTGTCAGGATCTGGATAGAGGAAGTGTGTCCATTCTGGTCCTGTTTACCTCTCGGTGGCCTGCAATATCATCTTTCTGGACTACCTGTTGGGGGTAGGGGTTCAGAGCATTGTGTTACAGTCTGCTGCTTAGGTGGACAGTTCCAGTCAGTAGTGGTGGGGCAGAAGAGATTGGCCTGATGGCTCCTCTCCCTTGTGGGGTGTTGCAAATGTTGGTTCTATCCCCTCTTCTATTTAATATTTACATGAAGCCCCTGGTAGAGGTCATCCAAAGTTTTGGGGTTCAGTGTGATACTCAGCTTTACATCACTATCCCAGGCCAGACTGTAATGCCATTGAAGTCCTATCCTGGTGCCTGGGGGCTGTGAGTGCCTGGATAGGAAAGAACAGAGTTAAACTGAATCCTAGTAAAAGGGCTTTTTGGAAATTTGGTGTTAGAGAAAACTCCTGAGAATGCAATGAACAGCCAAGAAAACAAATAGTTCAGGAAGCAAATCAACCCAGAGTTCTCACTCAAGGCACAAATGACTGGGTTAAAATTATCAAACACATTAAGCAAAGCCTAGCTCTCTGGAGAAGGCTTTAATACTGGGAAAGATGGAAGGAAAAAGAAGAAGAGGATGATCAGCAACAAGGTAGATGGACTCAATTACAGTAGCAATGGGTATACTGTTGGAAGACCTGAAGGACCAGGTTGGGGACAGATCATCATGGAGAAAATCTATCTGTCTGGTCACTAAGAGTTGACACCTACTTGATGGGATAGCATCACCCTTGAACCCACTGTGACTTGTGGGTTCTTTAGGATTCATGGCTCATGCTAGAACAGCAAGTGAGGGGCTATGGACAGGGTGGTCATTTCCGAGCTTTGGCTGGGATGCCCATTGTAGCTGTACCTCAGGCAGGAGGATCTTGCTACAGTGACTCGTACCCTTGTCACCGCCCACTTAGAGAACTGCAAAAAGATCTACATGTGGCTGCCTTTGAAGGTCATTCAGAAGTTGCAGTTGGTTGAGAATACAGTGGCCCATGTGCTAACTGGTGTTTGCCGGTGGGAGCACATTACAGCAGTGATGCAGACCCTGATTGGTTGCCAACAGGCTTCTGGGTGCAATGCAGAGTGCTGGTATTAATAAAGCCTGTATATGACATGGTGCCTAGCTATCTGCAGGACCCCATTCTTCCATTGGAATCAGCCCAGCCAGTGTGATCTACCCAGGTAAAACTATTAGTGGTATGGGGGGGGGGGCGGTCAAAGCTTGGTGCTGTCACTTTTTTTTTAATAGTAATTTTGTTAAAAATTACAATTACAAAGATAAAAACTAATGCAAACTAAAAAAAATAAAATAAAAAAGAAAGAATAGGAAGTGTAGAAAAGAAAAAAATAGAAAAATAGAAAAGAAAAAAATAAAGATAAAGAAAAGAAATAGAGAAATGACTTCCCCCTTTATCACAACAAGTATAAACAATTTTAATAATTTATCACCTTCTCTTAAAATAGAACAAATGATCTCTTTTCCCATATCCCATCTCTTATCTATAAACAAATCCTTAAAGCCTCATTGTCTCAGTCCTGGTCAGCAAAAGCCCATTAAGGGTTACCAGAGATGATAATGTCTCTATTTTAACCTTGGTCAAATAAACCAACCTTATATTCCTTCCTTTTACTTTTAACAATTTTTATCTTTAGTCTCTTAAATAATGTCCTAAAACTTTATTTCTTTTCATTTTTTCTTTGTCCTTTCTCACAAAATTCTTCAAAGGTTTAGCAAGTCTCTCTTTTGTAAATCCAATATAGGAAAATTATCCAGGTCACTCTCTTGGTTTGTTATTTGTATATCCTTTTTAATTATTAGGACATCAGCCGGTTTCTTCTGTATGTCCAGTGTAGCACCTTTTTCCATATCATTCTTGTAGCCTGTTATTTTTAAATCTCCTTTCAGATCAGTCTCAATCTTGTCAGGTAAAATTTGTTCCTCTTTCATAACATTTTTTAAACACACTCTATAGAGGCAGATACTTTTAAAATTAACTTCTGGGACCATTGTTCAAAAATATCCTTCAGTATATCCAATGCTAAAAGATTTTGTTTCATTCTGTATTAGTAAG